TTCAATAGCAGGTACAAAATTAAAGTGTGAAAAACCAAAAGTTGTTGGTTTTATCATTGGAGTATTCACCAAAATACTCTTTCACTATTTCTGAACAAATTTCCTGAAGTTGCCAATGGCTGCCTTGCGACTTCACAATGACAAAACATATTTAGAATATTTTCCAAAATAGCAAATGTTTCTTCAGGCCCTGTGTCAACTGAAACAAGATTTCCTTGCTGAAAACACCAAGACTCTGAAAAAGCCTATAGCTTTTATTTCATTTATTTTTTACAGGTAGATGCTTTGGTTGCATCTGGTAGTTATTATACAACAAAACTGCTGAAGTTAAAACTAAGGAAAGTTCTTGATGTTGCATTTGTTCTCTATGAAAGGAAGACTGGTGGACCCTCTGGTCTGAATCAGTCACTATAATATAGGAAGCTAAGTGCCCTGTCACTCTGCTTGCATAAAGTAAAGTCTAAAGAGGCAGTGCTTCCAGTGAAAAGAATTAAAAAGAAAAAAACGTGACAGCACAAACACCAACAGCAAAGGTATTTACTAAAGATGACATGTGCTATATGAACAACTGTAAAACCTTTTAAATGGATTTCTGCTACATTTTGAGTTGATCGACCACTTCAATTTTAACTTTAGCTTTTTTTTTTTTTTTTTACATGCAACATCTTAAAATGTTTTTGCAGCTAAGTAAAACCCAAATGGGTAACAGACCAACGACCAACTTAAAATATACACAAACATTATGAAATACATAAAAGATGTGAATTGTGTGAGTAAAAATTGTCAAATCTAACAAAATGCTTGCTGAGGGGCAGCGTATTATGCAACTTATAGTCCATCAAGTCATCACTTCACGGCTCAATCATCAGAGGTAAGAACACAATCATCCCCTCACCCACAGGTTTTTGTGGGTGATCTGACATTGATTTTTTTTTTGGCAGATTTAAAAACAGTTCACCCTGTGAGAAATATTTGCTACATTTCCTCTGCATGAAACACTGAGTCAACAATAAACTTCTTAGATGAATGAAGGCTGAACAAGTAAGATGATCATGAATCATAAAGGTTAAAGGTGCACTATGTAGATTTTGGTAGTGAAATTTGTCTGAAGTTGGAGAAGTGAAACAATTCTATGCTATATTTTCTGAACTAAATACACAAACTTTATTCAAAGGAAAAAATTGGTCCCTGGAACACTGTTTGGAGCTAAAAAGCTACCAGGAGAGAGTTACGGTTTCACTGTTGCAGACCCCCCCCCCCCCATAACTTCTCGCATAGCATTTGTCCTCTGAGGACAGTTTGTGTATAGAGTTATTAACATATACCACAGAATCTGTACATTTCTCCAACTTTCACATTTCTCTACCAAAACTCTATAGTGCACCTTTAAGCAATTCTTGGCACAGGACCCTAAGCAGACTATACATTTTACATAAAAGTTATGATTTTATAGAGTCCCAACATGTTCTGGGATGTGTTGAATAACAGCTGTACCATTTGTTCAGGGACATGCAGTCGCGATGCATGGAGGGTCCTCCTGTTGTCTCCAGGCAACTGTCCTGTCTGTTTGTTCAGAACTTGATTCACTTTACCTCTGCACTCCTCCCTCCTCTAACAGAGAGGTTATGTGAGGATTGTGGATGTGAGATTAAACAGCACTTTGAGCTCTTTGCACTTTTTTTTACATCTATCTGCACTTTACCATTCACTTCGTTTAAGTGAATGTGACTGGGGTGACAGCTGTTATCAGGACGTTACCGAGACGGCAAGAAGCTTTTTTCCTCGACTTATGCACAGCATATCAGTGGAAGCATTCTGCTTTAGCATCCCTCGACGTCAACTTCTGTGAGCTCCATGTTTATCTGAGTGCAGCCTTGAAGAAGATCATTGCCAAATAAAGTTAACAATCTGATTATTCCCCATGTTTCTAAAACAGAAAGCTGTTTGGGTTAGGTATCAAGTGTCATGTTGAAGCTAAAGAACTGATAATACACAATGTGGCTCAACTACTCTTACTGTCATGTCTTTGTTAGCATGGAGTAAAGGAGTTCACGATGCAACTTCTGCTGTTCCAAAAGGTCAAAAACATAAATATTCAAGTTCCCCTGCAGGCTCAGAAGGCACTGGAGCTGGACTATCGATCAGCGGCCTGTGGTTCAGTACTTTTCTCTGTCTTGACATTTGAAGTTTTCTCATATATAATAAGATACAACCCATAAGAAATGCAAAATGGCTTAACTTGTTGAAAAAGGCTTTTCCTTATGCCATCACAGTTGTGACAGCTTCTCTTCTTCCAGAAAGGCCAGGTTGGAGAAAAGTCCTGAATCCTGCCATCAACTATCTCTGCAGGAATAACTGTACATCCTGCAGGGAAGGGCATCATGTGATTTTATCTGTAACCATTTTACTCACAGATATCACCTCCGTCATGGCCAGAATGACACTGTGACAAAAACCTGAGAGGCAAGACAGGACCTCAGTGAGCAACAAATCACAGAAGTTAACACAGTGTTTGTCTTCAGTGTTGGAAAGTAATGGCTGCAAGGTTTACTTTGGAAAAATGTAGTGGACAGATTTCAGCTAAGTAGCTCAAACACACATCCTGTAAACTGCAGCAGGTGCAGAATCGTCCATCAAAGAAAGATGAGCCATTTTATGTACACCTCAATCAGTTTCCTAATGACGGTTATTTTATGATTGAACTACAGTCCTAAATCACTTTCATCCATTTCTGTGCCCGTACTTTAACTAGCAACGAGTGCCATCAGCCTGTTAAAATCAGGGTGCTTGTTCTTTCACTGAAGCTTATTGTGGATGTTTTATGTGCTGCCGCCAGTACACACAATACATCACTTTCATGAAAACAAGATCTACTATAACAGTTATTCTCATATTATTCACGTAGATTATGCACTGATTAAAGCTCTATTTAGTCTGCTCACTTGGTTTATAACAGCCTTTCAATGCTCACAGCAGTCAGAGCTGCTTATGATTTAAATTGTCCTTGTGGATAGAGACTCAGACTTTCCTCAGAAATGGACACTCACACTACCTGACTGACTCACATGAGGACTGAGACACCCAATTTACTCAGCTGGATGACAGACTGAGCAAAGCTCTGGCACACCCAAGTGGTGACAAATATGACTGCAAACAAATGCATGTACAGATTTAAATCACTCCTCTTTTGTAGCATCCTTCTTTTATATTCTATTCCTACAGCCTGACTTTATCTGTAGACCCTTAACACAGACAGACTAACTGATAAGGATACATATGTTATGGGGCAGAAAAAACAGCAGCAGTCCCAAAAATGTTTTAACGAACACACACACACACACACACACACACACACACAGTCACACACATGCTTGCAGACACACACCGGTGGTTTGAGTGCTTGGGTAGCAGAAACTCCTGGCACTGTTCATTAATCACTATGTTGAGGTTTTGATGCCACAGCAGGAATGGAAATGCTGCTCTGACTCTCATAGATACTGCCTTCATCAGCTCCACCAAAGCCCAGAGCTGAGAGAAGTAACTCTCAGGCACGAGTAGGAATGGTGGAGATACCAATCAGTTTGTGCGCCAAGAACACATCACACTGCAGTGCAACGTTATTGTTTTTTATAGTTTTGATGTCATTGAAGGAATCCTTTAATAAATCCAATCCGGTTTCCCACTGGTGATTAATAAAGTAATAGATCTATCTGTCCAAAAAAAGCGGGGAAGCACTAAAAAAACTACAAACTATAGCTTAGCTAACGTTAGCAGCAGCTCGGCAAGCATAATTTATGGGCAACAGCTGCTCCTGGTGTCCTTTGACAACCAAGAGGAGTTCAAAGAAGCCCTTCATTTTAAAAAACTACACCTGCATACTCGGTATTTCTTCTTTACCAGCTTTCAATTAACTAAACTTTAAATTGATAATTTAATACAGCCTTAGAATGTTTATCACCAAGAAACAATCTGAGCTAACGTTAGTAGCAGCTCATCAAGCACCTCTACCAAATATCCCGTGTCCTGGAAGAAAAAATCAGACACACTTCATTTTCAAATCAAAACTGCTATGTTCTGTGTTTTATCAATTTTAATAATCTCACCTTCAACTTGAAAAGTAAACTGCCTCAAAGCGTTTGGCTGGATCACTGTAATGTAGAAATTTGCTGGCTAACATTTGCTCTTTGCTAACAGCAATATGTTATTCTTTTGGACGCTCTTAAACACTAGTTGCTAGTTCAACTGTCTATTCATAGTACTTGTGCAGTTTGGCATTTAAAAAATAAGTCAATGTTTGAGAGGGCTATGGTATCAAATTAGTGCATTGACTAGCAATCCACAGAGTCCCAAAACTGTAATTACGCCATTAGTCTTAATGATTCATTATCAGTTTTATTCATGGCTCTTTTAAGTTTGTATAGAAAACACCTTGTTATTCTTTCTCAATACCACAAAGAACTGAGCTATTGTGAATAAAGATTACAGGGCAATGTGTATTCACTGGGCCCTTTTAAACGAAGCCTCTGTAAGAATTAAAGACGCTGAAAAGGTAATACTTTGATTTTTCTCGACAGATCAGGATTTTAAGAATTATGAAGGTCGCAGATTTTCTTAGTTTTTGCATAATAGGGATCATTTACATGAGACATACATGGCTGTCATTCATCAAGTTGTGAAAAATGGTGTAAAATCTACCATGGAAAGGATCCTGGACGCCTGCCATGTGTGATTAATGAGACATCCTCAGTCCAGCAGTCGCAGAGAGAGAGCATACATCAAATATAGCTATGGAATTAAAACCATGTGGAACCAATTTAACATTTACATATGACATGTGAAATTAGGCCTGCTTAGTGACTATTTGCACGGCTACATTTAAAAGGCTTACAAACATGCAGGACACAATACATTACTACAGATCTGAGAAAGAGCAGCAGATGGGGATGGTATTCAGTTGAGGCTAAAAAATAAGAGACTGAAACAAATTTCAGGAAGCAATGTTTCAGCCGAGAACATTTTTTTATTTAAAAGATGCTTCTAAGAACATTTAGATGACAGGGAGACACTGGAATTAAACTTAAAAAAATGATTTTATCTTTTTATTTGCTACTTTACTTAAAACAGTATAATTCAATTTGAAATTTAAAAAAAAAAAAAAACTTTTCAACTGCGTAGTAACAGTTTAACCACAAGAGGGCCTTGTAGCCTGTAATGTTTAAGTATTGGAGGAACAATTATGTCCTTGAGGATTTCACTGGAGCAAATCCAACCCAAGCTCCCAAACTTGCCCCAGTATTTATAAAAAATACTATACTGCGAAAAATCATCAAGGATAATGGGAAATGTGATTCAACAAACAAACTAAAGAGAATCTTATAGCTGAAACTTGAATGAACCTTAACAACTTTTGGATGTTCTTTCTCTGGCTGTGACATTAAATCATCATCCAGTAAACACTGTCTCATCACTCAATCAGGAAGAAGCCGCCACTCAAAGGAACAGAACATATAAAATATATGTTTACAAATGGTCCACTTAATTGTTAAACAGCAACAACTATGAAATTGCCTTCAGTCAACCAGCAGTGTGAATGTTAAGCAGCGGCCAGTGTGGGACTTCAATTCATCTTCCTTGCGTTGGTTTTGACAACTTGGTTGCCACTCTGGGAGCAACCTTTGCTCCCAAAATCTTCTGGCTGGTCCAACAGCTTCTAGTCTGGTGTGAAACCTGTTTCAGGTTTCAGGCCTTGCTCAGCCTTCAGGGTACGATGCAAGTCGCCTTCCGCAGTGCCAGGTAGCCTGTGACAACATCCGTGGGAAGGAGACGGATGTAGGAGAACTCCTCAGAGGATGTGAAGCGTAGTTTTGTCTGAGGGTCTGTGTAGTTTGCCTTAGGAGAGAGGAGATGGTCGTCAGTATTTGCTTCATAGGAGACTTAAGAGTTACTTTGATTGTTGCATAATGAGGAAATAAAACATTGGAGTACTCACAGGGAGTCCAGAAATATCAGAATACTTCTTTGTTGGCAACAAGGAGGGAGGGGCTTCAATGTTGTAGTCTGTGAATACAGAAAGGTTATAAGATGAAAAAACCATTAGAAACAATACCAGTATGGACATTTCTTCTTTAAAGTCATGTTCTGCACTCTGTATAGATGGAGGGTACAATTGTAAAGTGTTGTGAAAATGTTCAGGTATCAGGTTAAAAAAAGATGAACTCACAGTTGGGGTCATTGAGCTTCCAGGGTAAAATCCGCTCCAAAGCCAGAATCTGCTTGAGATTCTTCCAGGTCCTGTTCTTTTTACCTGCTGCTGCTCCTCCAATCCCAGAATGCTGCCATAGTTAAGAGGGGTATTAAAATAGGGTGGCCAAACATTGACAACAGCAAATAATCCAAATAGACACTCACCGTAAATGCGGGGTCTTTGAATGGAGGAGGCTTTGCTGTGGACTCTGTGGGGACAGCTGGACTGCTGTCTACTGCTCCTGTTGTCTTTACCTCAGTCACAGACTCCTCAGCTGCCACCTGATGAGAAATCAAACACAACTCTTCAGACAAACAGTCACAGCATTTGGCTTTAACCGTCTTGTGTTCTGAATGTATCCCAAATCAACAGTTGGGTAAACACAGTGTAACATGACCCTGAGAGAAACAGTCGTGGGAAAAATTAATGTCTACTTAGCTGTTATGACATGCATATTCATTTTAAGATATATTTAGCAGTCTAAACTGCATAAAAGTCTGTTTTCCAGCAACAATTTAACACTCTGGCTTAAGTGTCATTTTTACACGATTATGCTGACCTTTCCTTTTCTTATTAACACTCAGTCTCGTATAGTCATATTTTAGCTAGTTTGCAAAAGGTATCAACCAGTGCCCTGAGGCTCTGGTATAAACTAATGAGCTATCTTGGGGCACAAATCAGCATCTTACGTTATCCTCAAAAGTTGGTTCCTGAGGCGCTATATTGTGCACAAAAATTAGCTTGTGAAAGAAAGTAACTTCCCATAAGAAAGTTTACCATGGTATACCATAGTACGTACCATGGTACACTATGGTACGTACTATGGTATCTCGGTAATTACTATGGTATACCACGGTACATACCATAGTACCTAGGCAATTACTATAGTATACCATAGTAATTACTATGGTATACTATAGTACATACCATAGTACCTAGGTAGTTACTATGGTATACCTGGGTAATTACTATGGTATACTATAGAACATACCATAGTACCTAGGTAATTACTATGGTATACCATAGTACATACGATAGTATACCATAGTAATTACTATGGTATACTATAGTACATACCATAGTACCTAGGTAGTTACTATGGTATACCTGGGTAATTACTATGGTATACTATAGAACATACCATAGTACCTAGGTAATTACTATGGTATACCATAGTACATACGATAGTACCTGGGTAATTACTATGGTATACCATAGTACATACGATAGTACCTGGGTAATTACTATGGTATACCATAGTACATACAATAGTACCTAGGTAATTACTATGGTATACCATAGTACATACCATAGTACCCAGGTAATTACTATGGTATACTATAGTACATAGTATGTACTATGGTATACTATAGTAATTACCCAGGTATACCATAGTACCTCACAAATTACTATGGTACATATCACATTACCTAACTGCAGCACTCCAGTTATTACTATGGTTCCTCAAATCAATCAATCAATCAATCAATCAATCTTTATTTGTATAGTGTCAACACATAATAGCTAGGCTACTACCAAATAATTTTAATCACTTAGGTCCCATGGTACCTGTGTGATCCACACCTCAGTACATTGAAGGTTGCCATGGCAGTACCAATGTAGCTCACTCTGAAAGGAAATTGTGACACACCAGGCAGAATCAGGAGAGGAGAGGAGAGACTCTTTGGAGTTGGGACTGCTGTGCTTCTCCGTCTGTTGTGTATTGTCTGTTGTGTATTGTCTTGTATTATCATATTAGTTTCTCAGATGATCTTTGTTATCATTTAGTTTGTGTAATAGTAATAAAGCTTGACGCTCCCAAAAATCCCTCTTCCGTATTCGCATCCAAAAAATCAACAGGACCACTCGGTCAAAGTTTAAGTGTTTACTACGATTAAAATAAACTAAAAACAGATACAGATGAATCCAAAGTTATACAAAAGATCAAAAACAAAAGAGAAAAAGAGAGAGAGAGAGGTGAGGAGAGGTCAAAAGACTGACTCCACTCTCTGCTAGTCTCAATTTAGCCCAATTAACTCCACAAACTCTTTAATTCTCTTCCCTCTTAAGAAGAAGTCAAATCTGTCTGTCAGGAAGAGACTAAGGCAGAAATTAAGGCCTTCATATGACAGAAGCTATCAAATTCGTCCAAAATCATGAAGCGCAAAAACATTTAAAGCTCCAAAAGTTTGCGTTTTGTATTATCCCATTTATTATGACAATCACAATTGTTTTATTAACTTTAATTCACATACACCTCCCACCCCTTCTCAAAAGAAAAATAAGGAAAAAGAGGAAAGAGGAAGAAAGGGAGAGATTAAAAAAAGGTGAGAGGAAAATACAAATAAAAAAATAGATAAATGGTGAGGTTGAAAACTGGGGTTGATTTAATAGTTTTATTTTTTGTATCATATTTAAATCAATTACATAAATAAATAAATTGAGTTACTGTATCGTGTATTTGCCTCTGTCCATTATTTCATCAAATTGGTTTTTGTCAAAGTATAAACTGTGGGATGTATGGTTCAAATATTTTGAAAATATTTGAAAATGTCCCATGGAATTTTGGAGAATAGTATGGTATATGAACTGAGATATTTGGCTGGACTATGGTACTTTTACCTTAAGACCTTAAATTGACTCCCTCTGTTCACCTTTGTGGCAAAAATGTACACACACACAAAAACCACTATAAAATCATCATACATACATCAATAATTTTTTCTGATTTTTTTCCATAAATCACTTAATGTCAATTGTGTTTACTATGGTACATGTACCTGGTATTTATGTAGTACATGTACCATGGTATTACAATGATACAAGTACCCTGGTATTTATGTAGCACATGTACCATGGTATTACAATGACACACGTACCCTGGTATTTATGTAGTACATGTACCAGGGTATTACAATGACACACGTACCCTGGTATTTATGTAGTACAAGTACCATGGTATTACAATGATACAAGTACCATGGTATTTATGTAGTACAAGTACCATGGTATTACAATGATACAAGTACCCTGGTATTTATGTAGTACATGTACCATGGTATTACAATGATACAAGTACCCTGGTATTTATGTAGTATGTGTACCATGGTATTACAATGATATAAGTACCATGGTATTTATGTAGTACATGTACCCTGGTATTTATGTAGTACATGTACCATGGTATTACAATGGTACAAGTACCCTGGTATTTATGTAGTACATGTACCATGGTATTTATGTAGTACAAGTACCATGGTATTACAATGATACAAGTACCCTGGTATTTATGTAGTACATGCACCATGGTATTACAATGATACAAGTACCATGGTATTTATGTAGTACATGTACCATGGTATTTATGTAGTACATGTACCATGGTATTTATGTAGTACAAGTACCATGGTATTACAATGATACAAGTACCCTGGTATTTATGTAGTACATGTACCATGGTATTACAATGATACAAGTACCCTGGTATTTATGTAGTATGTGTACCATGGTATTACAATGATATAAGTACCATGGTATTTATGTAGTACATGTACCATGGTATTTATGTAGTACATGTACCATGGTATTACAATGGTACAAGTACCCTGGTATTTATGTAGTACATGTACCATGGTATTTATGTAGTACGTGTACCATGGTATTACAATGATACAAGTACCCTGGTATTTATGTAGTACATGCACCATGGTATTACAATGATACAAGTACCCTGGTATTTATGTAGTACATGTACCATGGTATTTATGTAGTACATGTACCATGGTATTTATGTAGTACGTGTACCATGGTATTACAATGATACAAGTACCCTGGTATTTATGTAGTACATGCACCATGGTATTACAATGATACAAGTACCATGGTATTTATGTAGTACATGTACCATGGTATTTATGTAGTACATGTACCATGGTATTTATGTAGCACATGTACCATCGTACTGTCAAAAATACCATGGTACTTGTACCATGGTAATACCCTGGTACATGTACTATAGTACCACTATGGTACTGTACCATGGTAAACTTTCTCATGGGTTGATGAGAAAGTTCTTAGAAGTATTTATTTAAGGAGGTAATTTGTAACACATGGAAACAGGTTATTGTCTTCTGTGTAAAAAAGATAGCTCTGTAGATCTTCGTGTAACGTGGAAGTTTCTTTTCTAACCAAATCCTGCTCATATTGTGACGTTAACTTCCCAACAGAGAACACATTCAGCCAAAATAAATAATATATATTTAACACAAAACGTGTAAGGGATTAGTTCGGACACAAAAACCAAACAGATAAGATTACCTGTGTTTGGGATGTTGGTGTTGTTGTCAGCTGTCCTTTCTTCTTCTTGCCCCCGGTGGTCTGTGCAGCGGCAGAAACCGCCGGACTACCGGGACGTTTCTTCCCCCGGTTAGCGGCACAGCTGGCAGCTGCCGGCTGCGCTCTGACTGTTATGGGGATCTGAGATGCCATCTGTGATAGGTATATGCGGCTTTCTTTCAAAACATTTAACAGTAGCCGTGCACCGTGGTGACCAAAAGTGGTAAACAAAACTGAATCCGGATGTACATGGATTCTTTTCTTCTTCTTCTCCATTATGTTTTATGGCGGGTAACGCCAGCATTTAGGGTGCATTACCGCCACCTACTGAGTTGGAGTGTGGGCTGGAGTACTTACTATTAGCCTACATGGGGAAAAAAGGGTACCGGTAACTTATCCAGCTTCTTTTAAATCTCAAACAGAGCTTTATCCCCCCTCCTCATTTACACTTTCTCTATCTGTTTTATACATCTGGCAATTAAAGATTACATGTTCGACTGTTTTTGTTCCATACTCTGAGACCTGATGGATGTAATATGAAGTGCATTATTTTATTGAATTATGTGTATCCTAAGCTTAGTATTATTATGATAGTTTGGTTTTTCTTGTTTTTTCCAATTGCTTTTATTCTGACCACTTTTTTAAATGGTTTATTTTCCGGTTATAAAGTTTAAATGTAGATAACAATTGACCAGTACAGGGTGTGCCAACAGAGACATGAGCTATCAGACCAATTTTCTTTTTTTAACCAAGCTGTAAACATGTTAATTTCTGCTGTAAAAACAGACTTTTTTGAATGACACTGCAGGATTTTACGCTTCCACACTGGCAGATTTATTCCTCAACCAAAGTTGTTTAAATGTTCAGGATACAGTATAACTTAAAAGCTCAGTGTTACTCCCAGGAATAGATCTTAATTTGAAATGAATAGAAATGTTGACATATCTGATTATGTCTGAAAACATTGGACCATATATTCCTCCATGTGAGGGTGTTTTTTTTCCCTGAAGTGAAAATAATAAAGACAACATTTAAACCAGGACCAGAAAATCACACAAATGTATTCATTCATTTTCCATTTGACATGTTGACTTTGAATTAAAGTGTTATGCTGCAACCTTATCACATGGAAAAGAAAATAAACTAGGAGCTGGTGTGCAAACAAGAGGCGAGAGACAACAAGGCAGCTATGCTTAATCGGTTGTTGCTCAGCTCTGGACCTTGGTCAAGGCGTCATGTTGCGAGTCCGACAAACACCATCTTCAGCTTCCCCGAGCCACCAGCCCGTTCCCCTTTTATTGAGTTCAGATATATATTTTTGTATTTTTATTTTGGTGAAGAGCAGCTGGAGAGTGTGTAGCGCTGGTTGTTGACTGTCTCCTCCGTGTCCTGACCAGGTGCACCCTATTTCCAACCAGCAGCCCCTCACAAACAGTTGGGGAGGAAATGACGTCGCCCCAGAAGCCGTCAGCACTGTTCCTCCCAAAAACATTAAAACCACATCAAACATAGCTACAGCACCTACCTACCTACACAACCAGCTCTTACATTAACAAAAGAATCTGTCCAAAGATCTGTCCTTAACAAAAGGTTGGAAACCAAAAAAAGGACATTTTTAATCCAATTTTTATAACTTCTTAATTCAAAGCTCTTGTTATATAACTGATCTACTATGCTCGTGAGCTTTTCAGATGTAGATTCTCTTTTAAAATCTCTGCATCTGGTGATGTTGCTATGAAGATGTTATCATGGATCAAGTTAATTGGGTAAGAATTTCAAGGTATAGAACAAGCAGAAACAAATGTATACAATCCAAATTCTTTATTAATTTATTTTTCAAATTGACATAATTTGCATTTAATTTAACTGTGTACTCTGTGCAGCTACAGAGCTAGCCACCGCGCCACAATGCCGCCCACTGTGAAGGTAAATCTGGGATCAACTTAAACAAGTTATGACTTGTGTTTCAGAACATGCAGCACAAAAATCCCAGCAAATGGTGGAGGACTTGCATTACAGCGAGACAGCCACGTATCTCCTCCGATCTACATGGTGCCCCAAGCGGTGTATTTCTACCTGGTAGGGAAGTTTAGCCGGGAGGAAATATGGTGTACCAGGTTTCACCCATAGCGTCATGATTTTGTCTTGTTTAGTTCTGTATTTTTTGTATTTCAGAGTTTAAATTTATTTTTATTTCTTGTTTTAGTTCTCATTCTTCCCTGGTCTTGCTTGTTTCCCTTGTGTGTTTTTGTCTTAAAGTTTCCTGGTTTCATCTTAAGTGTTTGCTGTTTTTTATTTGATAAAGTTTCTCTGTTCTAGTGTGTATTGTATAACTCTTGAGTTCTCTGTGTCTTTACTGTTTTTTGATTTGTTTTGTAGATTTTGTCCCCAATGTTTCTAGTCTTTTGTTTATTCCTTTGTGTGTTTCCCTCCAGTTTGAACGACCTGTGTCATTAGTCTAACCTGTGTCTGATTACCCCTGTGTATTTAGGCTCAGTCCCATTTCACCCCTCACCCCTTACCCCTACCCGTGCACTGCAACAAGAATCTGGACATCCTACCCCTACAGGTGAACGGGCAAAACGTAGGGGTAGGGGTAGGGGTAAGGGTAAGGGGTGAAATGGGACTGAGCCTTAGTCTCAGTGTTCCTTCCCTCTTGTTGTCAGTTCATTGTCAGATTTCCCCCATGTCTGATGTCAGTGTGAGTTCTCTTCTTTCCACTGTTTTCCTCGTGTCTCCCTGTGTTTTGACCTTTTTGGGATTTTCTTCAGTTTGGACATTTATTTCAGAGTTTAAAAGTCTTTTTCTTGTTTTAGTTCTCATTCTTCCCTGGTCTTGCTTGTTTCCCTTGTGTGTTTTTGTCTTAGCGTTTCCTGGTTTAATCTTAAGTGTTTGCTCTTTTTTATTTGATAAAGTTTCTCTGTTCTAGTGTGTATTGTAAAACTCTTGAGTTCTCTGTGTCTTTACTGTTTTTTGATTTGTTTTGTAGATCTTGTCCCCAATGTTTCTAGTCTTTTGTTTATTCCTGCCTTTGTGTGTTTCCCTCCAGTTTGAACGACCTGTGTCATTAGTCTAACCTGTGTCTGATTACCCCTGTGTATTTAGGCTCAGTCCCATTTCACCCCTTACCCCTACCACTTAGCCCTACCCCTCCACTGCAACAAGAATCTGGACAACCTACCCCTACAGGTGAACGGCCAAACGTAGGGGTAGGGGTAGGGGTAAGGGTAAGGGGTGAAATGGGACTGAGCCTTAGTCTCAGTGTTCCTTCCCTCTTGTTGTCAGTTCATTGTCAGATTTCCCCCATGTCGGATGTCAGTGTGAGTTCTCTTCTTTCCACTGTTTTCCTCGTGTCTCCCTGTGTTTTGACCTTTTGTTGATTTTTTTTTTTTCCAGTTTGGACTTTTTTTTTTCCAAGAAGTAAGCCTTGTTTTGCCTTTTTGTTAAAATGAATCATTTTTGTTTGGATGCTGCATTTTGGTTCCAGTTCCTTATTTTTCCAGTTCACCATACTTTCCCCCAGCACCAAACCCCCCACCCACCCTGATCCCCCCTGCCATCATTTAAGCGTCTTTCAATTTGAAAATGTTTGTAAATATGATTCATCTTCACAGACAAAATATACTTACCTGTCACGGTCTTAATTCTGCTATCCTTCCATGGACTTTAACGCTGTACAGACAGGAGTATTCAGGATTCCCCCAGTTGTTCTCCACTTGCAGTTTCACGTATTTGAAGACTCTGTCTTTATGACTCTGTGGGACAAGAGAAGTGAGACAGGAGAGAATTAGTTTGGGGTTATAAAAAAGAATGGCAGCAAAAAAGCTGATATAAATTAAAGGATATAATGAAAACGATAAGAACAGATACATAAACACGGCATTAGTGTGATAAATAGTATGGCGTGAAACTCACAGGCACTTCGAAAGTCTGTAGCTGGTCTCCGTCTTCATCATAGAGAAACCTTCCTAGTTTGGTTCCTGTATCTTCTTTCATTTCCAAACCCTGCAGGAGGGACAGGCAGATATCAAGTTTAATATTTTGTTATTTAATACAGTATGTATGCAACAGTAAAACTGACAAATACACAGGGTGTCTGCTGGGGAATAAATACATTTGTGACTTACATAGACGGTAAACTCCCTCGGGGCGCTGGAGATGGCCAGATTTGTGGACAAAGTCTTTGAAATGTGACCCAGTGAAACATGACTGATGACAGTGGGGTGGGAAAGGGAGATGACTAGATGACCCTGCCCACCTTTGAAGGCCCAGCAGCTCCCTGGAACCAGCTCTGAGGAAAGAAAGAATAAAAGAACAAGTTTAGATGGTTTTGAATTATGTATATGGGTGAATAAGAAAGAAAACAATCTGAACAAAAATAAAGCTTTACAACATGGTCATCGGATACATACCTTAAGTACACATTTTGGAGTTACAGATGGTGTCCCGATTGGTATCCCAAAAAATGTTTTCTTTTCCGCTGTGGCATATGTTTGTGTTGTCAAGTGATGTACAATACTGGCTCCTGAACACAGAGCAGAACACAGGAATTAGGCATTAGAAAGCGATCTTAAAACTATAAACAATATGTATGAATGATAATGTTAGATATAAAAAAAAGAAAGTGGATGGTTTAGATGTCATACCTTGCGAATACAGAGCGAAGTTCGGTAAAGTGTCTGCCATAGGACGCAGGAACTTCATGTCTGTCTTCATGTATGCCTGTCTTCAGCTCGTCTAGTAGATTTCTGAGCTGCTCCGCCATGTCTTTATATGCTGCATTGGTGTCCTGTAAGAGGTGTGGAGAGGCATTAGGAATGCATGCTAGCAACTTTAGGATATAATCATGCAAATATTAACGTCTATTTCACATTCAGGTACAAATATGTTTGGATTTTGATTGTTTTCACACTGAATATAAGAATAACCAAACAAGTCACTATATAAAAGAGAATTACAAGCTGGTTGTATGTAACATACCTTATGAGTGGGGGCTGATGAATCAGGAAGCTCTGAGTGTTGTGGCACCTGAAGGTTGTCACTTTGTGTGCCGACAAAATAAGCGAGTCCTGATAAAAGGGAAAAAACAATGCATAGAGACGGGTTAGGGATTTAAGTTGAACATAGTGGGGCTCTGGCTTCTTCTGCCCTTGCTGTTTCTGTCGATTTTTACAGCTCTATCCATGCTGCTGTTTCTGTAGCTGCTTGCAGGTTCGTCTGTGTTGATGGTTCTGCAGGTGTGCATGATGTCCTGAATGG